CCTTCCCACAGCCCCGCCCCCAGCACCTGCTCCTTCCGCGCACCACCGCACCCTTTCAGCCGCTCTTTTACTGGCTCCTGTCCTCCCTCCATCCTTGTCTCTCTCCTGCGGTCCCCTTTGGGCTGAAGAGACACACCCTTTACGTGTGTGCGAGGGAGAGGAGGCTGGACCTGGGGGTGCCGAGGAGGGTGCAGGGCGGGGTCCCCGCAGGCGCAGCTCGAGAATTAAAACCCCGGGGCTCCAAAGGGCTAGAAGGCACGTCCCCTTCTCGGCCCTGCACCCAGCCCCCAGCCGCCCCTGGCATCGACAGCGCCCCCTCTGTCCCTCTGGCAGGCTCCACAGTGACCACTGTAGGCTCCTACGAGGGCTCTGAGGGATGTGAGAGGAAGAAAGGCCAGCGCTGGGGGTCCCTGGAGCGGCGGGGGATGCAAGCTATGGAGGGTGAGTTTTCCCAGAAAGCTTTATTTCTCTCTCTTACCCCCTCCTCCTTCTGCCCTCTGACCTCAGAACTCTGAGCCAGGACACAGCTCCTTCCTCAGTTCACCTTACCCACCTCCTGCCCTACTCGGGGCTCCGGCTTGGAGGGAGGTTCCAGGTGCGTCCCTTGGGGACCCTAATCCGCACCTAACCAGGCTGTGTGTCCCGAGGGAGCTGCCACACAGCGAACAGGCCTCAGCTGGACAGAGCTTTTCAGCAGGGGGTTTGTTCTTGCTGCCTCTCAACCCAGACCCCAAGCTGTCTCTTGTTTTGAAAAGCTGGGAAGGGAGCATGTGAATTGTTTCTCGTGCCACCATCAGGAACTTCATACGCAAGCCTTGTGGCTTTGGTTCTCTAGGATCGCTTACTGCCTGAAAGAGATGGCCTGGGAGGGGGCAGGCGGGAAGGCCAACCTCCCAACACTCATGTGTTCCCACACCCCCCTGGGCCTTCGTGGGTGCTGCCAACACAGGCCCCTGAAGGGATGCTGGTCCTTTTTCTGGGACTTCTGTGCACACTCAGTGTGGGCAACCCTGCTTCCCCAAGGGGGACAGATGACTCAAGGGACCCCAGATGAACCTTAGGCTGCTGTTACTGAAGAAAGTAAGATCAGGGATTCAGGTTTTAAAACGAAGCAAACAATCACAATCCAGATACGATGTTTGCTATTTAGAGGAACTGCATTGCAGCAAAGGAGAGGGTGCTCACCAACCAGAGGCTAGGGAGCAGGCACACCCCAGTTTCCAGTGCGTTAAAGGCTTTCTCTTACGCACAAGCACACCCTCAGACTCCCCCCTGAAAAACTGCACTGTGGTCACCAGGGGAGGAGGGGCCTCATTGCACTCAGGAGGGACAGGCAGGGAGGGCTGGGAGAGCGGACCCCCACCCCCACCCCGCAGACACTCAGCAGGGAAAAGGAAGGTGGACCTTGTAGAAAATTTCAAAAAGAGCACATTTGAAAGGGCCCCCGTGTTTGTCCAGTAAAACATTCAGAATCACTTGGTTTAAGTGTTTTCTTTCTCTGCCTGCAGGCAGGCAATGCCTTTTTATTACGGAAAGGCTAATTTCTCACAAGCCACCAGGATAATTTTTAACTTTCCACAAACCCCCAAATGGTAACTCTTGCCCCGTTTGGCCTGAGATATGCCCAGTGTCTGAATCCTTTCTTGACTACTTGTCCCACTACCCAGGGACCAGGACTGGAAGACGCAGGTGTCCTCATGCAAGCTTCACATGGCTGAGCCAGTGCCGGCTGCTCAGTTGGCCCAAAGGCGGTAATGGGAGGCCACCAGGTGCAGTAGGGGTCCAGAAAGGGCCCGGAAGGGGGATGGGCTACCTCCAAACTTGACCCTCACAACTGAAGACTCAGGAGTGCAGGGCCTGCCCAGGGGGTTCTTGGGGGGACACCAGGTGGCACTCTTATAACATCTCTGCCCTGAGCCAGTGTGTTTGAGCGCCCGCCCTAGAAGGACCCTTGAAAGGAAATTGTCTCTGACTCCCTGGTGGGCTGGGTGTCCTCCCTAGGGGAAGTGTTACTCCCAGCGCTCTATGAGGAGGAAGAGGAGGAGGAGGAAGAGGTGGAAGAGGTGGAAGAAGAGGAAGAGCACGTGCAGAAAGGTGGCGGCATGGGCTCCCTGTCGTTGGGCAAGCACCGGGGCCTGAGCCTCACGGAGACAGAGCTCGAGGAGCTGAGGGCTCAGGTGCTGCAGCTGGTGGCAGAGCTGGAAGAGACCCGGGAGCTGGCAGGGCAGCACGAGGACGACTCCCTGGAGCTGCAGGGTGAGTGTCTGTGACTGAGGGCCTGGCCCAAAGGCTCTGTGCTCACTGGATCCCAGGCCTGATGTAGGATCCCAGGCCTCATGCTGGATCCCAGGCCTCATGCTGGCCCCTGTCTCATTGCAGGGCTCCTGGAGGATGAACGGCTGGCCAGTGCCCAGCAGGCAGAGGTGTTCACCAAGCAGATCCAGCAGCTCCAAGGTAATTCCCAGAACTCAGGCTGGAGAGGTGGAGGTCTTCCAGGGACTTGTGTCCAGAGGGTTTGGCTGAAGCATAGCAGACAAACAACCTAATTCAGCACTTTCTCCTTTTTTTTTCTCTACTAATCTCACCCTTTCTCCTCATCTTGTCATTCCCCTCATTACCTAATTTTCTTTTTTTTTTTTCTTTTTTAAAAAATTGACTTCAGAGAGGAAGGGAGAGGGAGAGAGAGATGGAAACATCAATGATGAGAGGATCATTGATTGGCTGCCTCCTGCACGCCCCCTACTGGGGACTGAGTCTGCAACCCAGGCATGTGCCCTGACCGGGAATTGAACCAGTGACCTCCTGGTTCCTGGTTCGATGCTCAACCACGGAGCCACATCCGGCTGGGCAATTTTCTTTCTTTTTGCATCTCTTCCTGGCACTTCTGTCTTCCTTTTCTCACCCTCGCATTTCACCCTTTCTCCCTGGGTTTACTCTCTCCTTTTTCTCTCCTTCAGCCTCCTCCCTTCACACCTTCATCTCTTTTCCCTGGTTCTCCTGGTCAGTGCCAGGGGTAGATGATCAGGACTGAATTCCAAACCAGATTGCTTTTTCCTGGCCCTCAAAGGGCACCCTGGGAAAAGCAGTGAGCCAATGAGAAGTGACTGGAGGGGACTCTATACATCTCTTTCTTTTAAGTGAAGCAGATGAGAACGCTTCTTTTGCTCCCTAGGACCAAGCTGTGGCCCCCAAATCCCTTTCTTCTAACACCCACATTCCCTTTGTCTCTGGGAAGCAGCAGGGCAGGCGTCCCACATTCCACTGTACCACCAAATAAAGAGGCAGCTTTTGTTATTTCTGTGAGCTTCCGGAAGGTTTAGGGGAGCTGCCCTAGAAAACAGCAGGGACTCTCCCAGGAGAAGGGAGATCAAGCCAAAAGAAGAGTATAAATGGAGAAAAAAGGAAGTCCAGGAAGCAGGCCTGGAGAGAACAAGGAAAAGGTGGAGGGAGGCGGGGTGGGGGGGGATGTAAGCAAAGCAGATGCAGGAGAAGTAGACAATTCATGGGGGAGGGTGGAGGAGAGAAATGGAGATGTGTTGCACAGGGCAGCGTGTGAGCAGTGGTCTCAGAGCACCTAGAAGATTCTTGGGCTCAGCTCTGCCATGAAACCAGCTTGGTGGTCTTGGGCAAGTCACTTTTATCTTTCTGACACTTGTTTCTTTATTTGTAAAAAGGGGCTAATTTATTTGTTTCTCAACCATTTATGGAGTGCCTGTAGACTTGGAGGCCCAGCTATGAACAAGACAGTAGATCCCTGCCCTAGTGAAGAGTGCATTCTAATAAGGAGAGGCAGAAAATAAACAACACATGTTCAAGTGGCAATATGCTGTGAATACAGTGTAACAATATGATGAAGACGGGGTGAAAAGGGAGTTTATTTTTGATAGGGTAGTTAGGAAAATCCTCTTTGAGAAGGTGACATTTGAACTAAGACCTGAATAATGAGAAAGATTTGAGGGAAAAGCAGTTGGGCAGAAGGAATAGCAACTGCAAAAGCCCAGAGGCAAGAATGAGCTTCCTGTGTTTGGAGGACAGTACAAAGGCCATTGTGGCTGTAACAGAGTGCATGTGGAGGACCCTGGTAAGAGAGTTCTGAGAGGCAGGCAGAGGCCAGCTTACAAAGGGGCCTTGTAGGCCAGCTGAGAGGTTTGACTTTTATCCTAAGTATAGCAGAAAGGTGTGGGAGGGTCTTAGCCAGGGCTGGGCTGATACACTGCTTTACATTAAAAAAACAAAACAAAACAAAAAGCACTTTAGCCCTGGCTGGTGTGGTTCAGTTGTTTGAGCATTGTCCCGGTGCACCTCAAGGTTGCAGGTTTGATGCCCTGTCAGGGCACATGCCCAGGTTGCCAGTTGAATCCTTTGTCGGGGTATGTGCAAGAGGCAACCGATTAATGTTTCTTTCTCATATTGATGTTTTTCTCTCTCTCCCCCTCTCCTTTCCTCTCTCTCTCAAAATCAATAAAAGATTAAAAAACAAACAAACACATTACCTGTTAAAAAAAAAGAACACTTTGTCCACTGTGTGGAAATTGGATGGAGGGAACAGAGTCAAAACAGTGAGTCTGGTCAGTAAGTTATTGCAATAGTCCAGTCAGGAGGTGGTGATTACTGGGATTAGAGTAATAGAAATGAAGATGATTCACAATAGATTTTGAAGGTCAAGCCCTCAGGATTTGTGATGAATTGGAAGGGGGATAAGAGATGGCTGTTGGTTGGTGGTGTTATTTATTGGGATAGGAAGACATCGGGGGTTAGGGGAGGCATTTAAGACATGTTTTCTACATGTTGAGTTTGAAATGGGTAATGACATCCAAGTAAATATGTTGAATTAGATATGTGACTCTAGAACCAGGGGAGAAATCAGAGATATAAATTTGGGAAACATTAGCATATAGATGACATTCAAGTCTATGGCAGAGCACCATGAAATCACATGGAGTTACTGGAAGGGAAGAAAAAGGGTCCAGTCTCAGGGTTACTCCAGTATTTAAAGGCCCAGTATAGAAGGAGAAATGAGCAAAAAGGGACTGAGGTAGGAGGAACTACTGGAGCCTTTCATGCCCTGGAAGCCAAGAGCAGAAAGTGCTTCGAGGAGAGAACAACTGTGTCAAAAAGTTGCTTAGTCAAGGAAGATGGCCATTTGATTTGGCAAGATGGAGGGCTCTGAGATATTTTATCGAAGATAGAACCTGATTGGGTTGGGACTGAAGAGGGAAGGGGAGGTGACATGGAGAAGGTGAGTACAGAGAATTCCAGCCGTCATGTTTTGAAGGGAGGCAGAGAAATAAAGGAATGAGACATAAAATCAAGGGAGAGTGTTTGGGGATTTTTAATTTTTATTTCTTAGCTAGGACACACTAGATCATGTTTTTATGGTGAAGGAAATGGTCCAGTATAGCATGAAAGGCCTTTGCTTCGATAAAGGACATTCCTTTCAAATAAGCAAGTCAGAATCTCAGTAGAGAGGCAGGTAGGCAACAACGTGGGAGAATAAAGTTCTAGAGCAGTTTTGCTCAGTGGGGCTGTTTCTAGTGTTAGATCTCAGCCAAGCGGGGAAGGGGTGGGAGGCAGGGGCCGCAGGTCTGGTGCAGGCGCCCCAGTCTCCACCCGCGGGAACTAACAGACCGTCCTTGCGCACGCGCGTTGCCCGTTTCCGCCAAGAGGGGGCGCGCGCGGGCTCAGAGGTAGCTGGTGTTGGGAGGCCTT